TATTATAAGACATATTATAAGATAAAACGGAGATTTTTCTGGAATTCTATGGCAAAACAGATAAGAGAGTATGTAAAAACTTGTCAAATATGTCAAATTAATAAATTTAAATATTTACCCAAAACAGATTTCATACACATATCACAACGTTCTCAAATTTCATTTGAAACTGTACATATTGACTTTGGATGAATTATTAAAAAGTCGGAGTTAAATCGTTCCACAAAATCGTTTGTTATTGTAATAGATGAAGCTTCTTGATATATTTTTGGTAAATCATTAAAAGAAAGTAGTAGAACCCTGATAGAATATTTAAATAAGATTCCTTAAATTAATCAGATAAAGAACATCGTTTCAGATTGTGGAAGAGCTTCTAAATCTGAGAAATTTCGAAATTTTGCTATAAATAACAATATAAAGTTAATTTATACTAGTTCTTATTATCCAAGGAGCGAGCTATAAGAGATGTAAAAACCTATTTAAAATAGAAGGCATCAAGAAATTGGAAAATAATTTGTTGTCAAGGGACCTTCTAAAGTTACTAGAGTTAAAATACTCAATGGAATGGTATCATCGGTGAATTACTGTAATGAGGGAATAGATAAATCAGTGCACGTTTCTAGCTTAAGAAAATATCATTCCAGGAGTGATGACTTCATGAGGGAGGGGTTGGATGTAGAAGATCATCCTGTATAAGTGTGTGATTCTGGATATATTGTCAAGTTTGACATATGTTATGTTGGATATTTTATAGAGAGATACTAATAAAAGCTTATTTGAGACTACCCAGGCAGCACACTTTGGTATAAATTACGTATTTTTTACTACCATACGTATGAATACGGTTAATGTACTACCAAATATATTCGTGAAAATGTCCGCCTTATAAACGTCGATTACTAGAATTTATCCACCTATAATTAAACGTTTTTACTATACGTCTATATTAGATTTATAGTTGTAGTATATTTATACGAATTCACTTTGGTATAAAATACGTTTTTTTATGTACTACAATATACGTATGGATACTGTTGATATGCTACCCAATATATACGTGAAAATGTCCGCCCTATAAACGTATATTTTTTTATTTTTTTTACGTCTAATATTACTACTTTATCTACCTTTAATTATCCTAATTTACTATACGTCTATATTAGATATATTTGTATGATTTGATGTGTAAAATGCGTCTACCTGATATTGTTTTAAATGTATTTAAACACAAATTAAATAAAGTGATCAAAACAAAATTTCTAAAAGAGGCCATGGAAAAATGTTAATATATCTTAAATGATAGTTTGGATTTTATCCATAGCAGGTGTGTATACACCAGAAATAGGCATTACTCGTGTTTCTATTTTGGTTGTAATTGGTCTAAATATAAACATTTGAAAAGCGCAAATTCTAAGATAGCTTGGAACTTGCTCCGATTAAATGCTTTCAAATTACTCAATTGTAATCAAGTTCATGGTCGGAGTTAAAATCTATAATTGTACGGGTAAATGGTTAATACACGTCAAAAATAGTTAATTTCTTTTCTCCAAACTGTTTTGAACCTTGGAAATACATATTCATTATTTATTTTACTACTATTTAACATATCGTCTATAGAATAATGAACTTGGTTACAGATTCATTCTCACTTTGTTTTTTGTTACGTTTACGCCGCCTCTGCCAATGCTCATCCCAAATTTTTTTCGAGAAAATAGTTTTAGTAGTCAATGTAAACGACTTCCGATGATTTGGTTCAAAAATAGCACTCCAGAACGTTGACTTGAAGATGTTTTTCTCACGAACGATGGTCTGGGTCTGGGCCGAGGCCGCACTTCTATGACTCACAAACACAATCAGACAGACAATGAATATATAAAATCGTGAGTGGGCGGCCGTGTGTGTGTTCCTCTGACCAAGCCCAACAAAAAACCATCACAACTTCAGTTTAAACGACTCTCCCCAAATACATACATTACATATATGATATGCATTCTATAATCTGAAAAATCGTAGTATAAGAAACAATAAACAATGTACAGTTGTTTTTTATTTGACGGGATCACCAGAAATTTCTAAAAAAAATATTTTCATTTGGAATGCGAGTCAAGTATGGAAATACCTAGTTGAAAGAATACCTGAACTCTTTAAGGTCATTGTTTCTCATCGTTATTATAGCTATATTCGTTATAATAAAGCAAAAACTGAATTGCATGGACAAATCCTAACTTGACTAACAGTTTTTGATTAAATTAATATTAAAAAAACAAGCATTATCGAAAAATAAATTTATTAAAAAAATATATATATACAAATTCAATATTTAAAAAATGTATTATGTATTTAAAAACTGTATTATGCATGAAGTAAGTGGATATCAGGCTGCTACATATTCCAGGATACAACACTGCACTCGTAATTTTATCCGTGAAACAGGAAAGATAGTGCCTAATCTCATTAAAATAAATGGCAGGTGTTGGAAACAGTGGTATAAGTCAAAAAAGTTGTTTTTTAGAAAAATGCTATTGAAATTTCTTTGATCTTATTATGCTGGCATTTGAATAAAAGAAGTAGTATCCATTTAAAACTTTCTCGATTTTTTTTATGAAGTATTCTAAATTCTTTGTATATAAATATGGAATATAGGTTTAAAATTTTTGAAAAAAAAGGCACATATACCATTTTACACTAAACTTTATTAAAGAATAAGTAAACACATTCGCAGTTTAAGCCAAAAATAAAAGATAACCCTAAGAAGAACGAATCGAAAAGAAAAAAAGTCAATGAAAAACTCTATAACCGCTCCTTTCGTTGATATCCGGTAAGGTATCTGGTATATCATCTTTGGTTTTTAAATTCTTACAGAAGTCGTAAAATGTGTCAGAAATATAAGTTCCATCAAGTTCTTTTTCTTTTACACATTGATGGGATTGGGACCGTTGTATGATAAAGGTATTTTTATATTTTTTGACCATGATTTACCTTTTCTTAGGAAGTTAACTGTTTTAAACGGCTCATCTTCGTTCAAACTGGTTTTATATTCAAGAATACCTGGATTTTGAGACACCCTTAACCACTTTATCTCCTTCCATGATAGTTGTTCTCCAGAGTCAGTAACTTTCTTTTGTTGTACAATTCAAAAAACTCTGTTCTAGACATTTCAGTAACTAAAAAAGCCTTCTTACTTCCACACAATTTGACCAAGTTTATCCAGTCTCGTGGTATCTTTTTTCTCTCTCTATAATGGAGTGTTCGGAATCACACTGTAGTGTAACCAATTGAAATAAAGAGAGACAACTTAACTAATATCTCTCTCTCTCTTTTATAAAATTATGATAAATAAAATGGCGGCGTGATCGACTATGAAGTGACTAAGACACCACGAGTGACCGACTGAAAGATTCGTTATCTATTGGCTACTTACGTGTTATTGAGGGAATGGTAAAGGTTAAAAGAAAATATCTATTGATTTATATCTAATCTTTATTGAAAATATTATAGATGAAAGAATCAGAAAGTAAAAATTTATAAGTATATAAAATGTATTTATAAAGATTAAATATAGGTCTGATTCGGTGCAGTAAAATAATTAGTTTATTAAATGAGGGGAAGAACCAGCAAGAAAACCCCAAAGTCAAAATAAATTCAATAAAACCAATCAAACGTCAATTTGGATACAAATGACAAATTAAGTATATAATATATAAAAAAAACATTTAATTACTTGATGATTTAGTTAAACACAGAAAAATATATGAAATAATATTCAATTCCTTATATAAAAGAAATATCTAATACTGCAAGGCAAAAATAAAATAAATATTTTAAGAACAATAACTTATCAGATAACAAACATTGAGCATCACTAGGTTCAAACACACTCGATGCAAAAATAAAGAAGAGTTAATAAGTAAAAGGTAATGGGGAAGCTATACAGCTTTACTACCCACCTATGAGTTCAATAATCTGGCGACAAAATAAGGTAAGTTACCGAGACACGTATCCCGAAGTTGTCCCAGCCACGGGCGAAAATGTTATTATCAATCAACAAGGCATTTTATACTTTTAACTTAGATCTGCCAATGCTGTGATTATCAAAATAAAACACATAATTATAGGAATACAATATTACTTTTCCCTTGCAGAACTTTAAAAATGACTGGAAAATAATTTCAAGTTTAAATATTAAGAATAGCAAATTTTCCTTAATAAAACTACAAAATATCAACAAACTTCAAAAATATTTAAATTAAAATATTAAAAGTATGCTATTTTTCACTGATTTAAATAGTAAAATAAGTCATAAAATCAAATAAACTCGTTATTGGAATGCAAGCTTTTTTTATGACAAATACAAAAAATACCGGCAAGAAATAACATGAAATTACTTATAACAGTGAAATTCAAATCTGAAATAGTGAATTATCAACAAGTTAAATAATATATAAAGCAGTTGAAATATAGTAATTGATTTAAATAAGAACTTGAACATTTTATCACAAATAAAACGTTTTTTAAAAATCACCTGTACTTAATCACCGGCATTCTGACTCTTCGATGTTCGATGACTCTCTGCCCTCCTAGCGCATGAACGATTTTTGTTGGTTGGAATTTATCGCGGTCAAAAGCGATAGAATAGGTGGACGCTTTATATTGCCATTCAAGGTGGACGAAATTAAATACGATCCCTTCCAACACTCTATGTGTGTGTCTAGGAATGAGAAATTTTTGGTTTATAAAACGTAAATTCGGGTTATTTTTTAAAACCATCATGTACATAGCAGGTAAAAACGAATTTTTATTTTGTCCAGGATACGTATCTGAATAAAGTGTCACTTCTTTTATTTTCAGTGTGATGTTCAAGAGGTGCCTTTATAAGCACGAAGCAATTTGATTTTCTTCGCGACCGGCCATACCTTCATGCCACATGAAACATATTGCCTGATTACTGCTGCAGTCATGTTATGTTAAATTGAATGTCCATCATTGGCGCTTATAAAATGCTATAGATATTTGAAGGTTTGGTGTAGGTAGCATTGTTGAAGATCGAAAGTGTAAATGCGTTTTGATGGAACTTTCAAAGCGGCGTTTTTGTCCAAACGTTTGGCATCATAAGCATCTGCTGCTTCTTTCTGATGAACGTCGAGCTGAACTTGAATTTCTTGCCTCCTGTTAATATCCTTAGCTGTTTTTAGATTCATACGAAATTTGTCGCATGTGGCGCAGGTGTCCTTACTAGGGTTTTTAATTTTTATTCCCATAGAGTAAAAAATTTCTTGATATTTAAATTTTGATACTGGTTTCTTTTCTTCAGATAACCACTTTTTATATTCATCATACATTCTTGTCAAAATATAGTGATGTAGAAGATATTGCTTTAATAAGTCTTTTCGGCAATAGTGACTCTCGTAAGCTAGAATGGATAATATATAAGCTTTCGCTAAATTGATGTCTTCCTCAGGAATTTTACTAGGTGGTGGCGACAGGCCTTGTAAGTCATCGTGTGGTATTCCAAAAACTGAAGAGCTTTTATTTTTTATGACATCAGAAAGAAATCTTAGGAGACATTTTTGGCAAATTTAAACTATTTGCCCGCCTATTGGTATAACATATTTAGGTGTAACTTCGTACTTCGTTTAACGCAACGGTGGATTCGGTCCTAAGTGATGCATATTACCCGCTGGGACTTACTTGCCCGTTTTACTCTACACGGAAATATTAAAATGGATTTAGTAATAGCTATTTATAAAACCAGTTGCGAAACGCCTCATTTTATGTAACGAGTGAATATTTGCGGGACGAGCAGAAAGAAGGTCCCGCGACATGAACAAGTTACATAAAACAGCATTTCTTATGGTGTGTTTATAATTTTTATTATTTAGTTTTTAAAAAAGTGGGTTATTTTGTCGTAATTGTATTTTAATTATTTTGTGTCTATTTGAACTGGAAAATAAGGACCAAAACAAAATTATTACTAGGTTGTAAGTTTAATCAATTTCTATTTTTATAAGTAAACCTGCCCTTCTTTATAAACTTTCAATAATAATGTATATATTATTGATTTTAATACCAAAAAAGGTTTATTTTTTATTTGTTTGCTTTCCACAACTGGTGACGTAATTCATTTTTTATGCAACTGGTTTCGTAAGTGGATTATTTTGACATTTGCTACAAAAAATTTCACTCTATATGTAAAAATTAGAAAAAAATTTGTTTGCCACTTTCATAGTAAAAGGCAAGCAAACCTTGTTTATTACAAAATATATCGTCTGAAATATATCATAAAACGTTTTAATAATTTGGCGAGCATACATAATCTATGTGATATTCAAAGCTTATGAGTGAGTCCAACCTTTTACCCAATAAATTGGCTTGATTTTTAAATAAATTTATTAAATAAGTGGTTGCGGGCGATAATTCATCGATACCAACACAATTTTTCTTTTTAATTTTATCAAACACTATTTTTATATCTTCCATAGTTATGTAACGAACAATATGTTGACTTACTATTCAACTTTGTGTAGGTACCTATATTGTTTTGAAAATGGCCACTAACCATATTTGTCCAAATGTCAGAAAATTTACTTATTTCTTATTGTGTAAAAAAATATTAGTTCTGTTTAGATTTTCATTTATAATTTGCCAGGTTTCTTGTATTTTATCGGCTCTGCTCTGCTCACTCGATCATTTAAAGAGTGCCGTTCAGGTTTTTTTACTTCTGATTTAGTGTTTTCTCCAGATTTACAAATTATTCAACTTTTAGTTGTGCACTATTTTACTCTCGAATAAGTTGACACTAATTATTTTGAGGTTGAAGTTAATGATCTTTTAGTAACTCACAGTTACGAATATGAAAATTGCAGAATGCTGGCAATACAAGCACTACCAAATGAATAAAGTAAATTAAATAAAAACACAAAAAACAGCAGACTTAACGTAATGAAACCAACAAAGTCTACAAAGAACAATAATTAGAATCTAAAAATACATTTTAACAACTATTAACGGTGTAAATTAAATCAAAAAGACATATATAATTAGAATAGACCATTTAAAAATTAATTGGGTCAGTATTCTGAAGAATTTTAAAACCAAAAATAATACATCTTAGGTAAATTACCCACAGTATTTTGGGTCATCAAACTACTAAAAGACCAAACACCAACCAACTGTTTAGTTTGTTATTACCTGGATCCAAAACAAAAGATCGGCATCGGATCTTTCTGAAAGAAAAAAGGTAAATCACTATAGGTGATGGGTGCAACATTTTACAAACGCACAACTAATTTTCGGTCAACAATTCGGAGTTTACGATTTCATTGTAAGCACGTCAAAAACTTGTTATTTTTTAATTATATTTGGCTATTTATCTGTATAGCGCTCAATGGAGGTGAGTAAACAGGGAAAAGAGGATCAGGAGCAGGGTTGTCTCTTTGGGAAGGCCGACATAAGGTTTAGATTCTGTTTTTTTTTTTTAAATAATCATGCACAGCGTTAGGGTTTATTTATATCCCCATATTATTAGTATTATGATTAAGGAGGGGAGAGGGGTAGGTACTCCATTCTCATTGGCGTACGGTTTGAAAGGGTTCGTATAGTCTGTTCGCTATACTTACGCGGGTTTCGGATTAACAAAATTATGCAAATTAGTCATTGACAACCAGTTCCAATAAGCCTCTTCCCAAGAAATTAGGTAAAATTGCCCTAATGTTCAGATTTAAATTAAAATAACATTAGGGTAGGTACTAAATTTGTTACAAATAATTAATTAATTAATCCGAAACCCGCGTAAGTATAGCGAACAGACTGTATTTATGTTTATCGTTTATGCACTGTAATTTCACAATAACTAATAATTTAGAAAATTGATTCACATGATTAATAAACAAATTTATTTAACAATGTTCCTTTTCTATTTATGTTAAGCTTTCGTTTAGGATTGAAAACTTTTTTTTATTGTATAGATATATGTTTTGAAACTGTATGCTTTCAACTGAATTCGTGGTCACACATTATTTTTGTTTAGTTCATTATCATCATCAAGTAGATCATTTAGAAACTGAAATATTTTTTATATAGAGTAAATAAAAGAAAAATAATAACAAATAACAATAATTTATTTCTATATACATACTTAGTGGTTGTGGTTTTTCTTTTTTAAGTTCTCTTTCCCTTTCAGAAGCATTTAGTGTAAATGAATGGGAGCTTACAGATATTGTGGTTTTAGGTGATGAGTTTATCAATTTTAAACAATTTTTTGTCTTCTAAAGAGAGTTAAAGATTGAAGTTCCCTGTCTTGCATATTTTCGTCCCTACAAATGAAATGTACATAAGATGTATTCTGCAGATTTATTAATGATATACATTTACATGGGCGTCGTTTGGGGGCAGTTTCCCTCTGGCTTATACGACTTAATCAACAACGCGCAAGATATGCATTACGAACAACAATCTTATAGAAATAATAATACTCAGGCTAATATAGTTGAAGAATATTATAGATTGAATATATTTATTGCATATCTGGACTCCCTTACGTCGCTTACATCACACTTTTCCGAAGACTCTGTTAGTTTTTCCTTAAGCCTGTTACATCCCAAAAATATAAAAAATACTTTTTTCCCTACCGATTAGAAAATGGAAGTAGTGTAAAAATTTGGAATCGACAATTTTGAAGCTGAATACCAAACTGGAGTACGAAAGAGCTTTCTGCACACAATGAGCTCTCCATTAATGATATAGCGTCCAGACATTGTGAATTTTATCCAGACATACAAAGTGGTTTAAAAATTATTTATGGCTCTTTCACCAAGGCATGTTAAAACATGGCTGCGGTCTATTCGATCAGTGCGAAGTCATGGTAGGGGAAGTAAAAGCGATACTAGCGCAAGTTGCGGATAATTCGAGTACTTTATGGCGATATTTTGTAATTTTGGCGTATCAAATACACGTATACATTTTACTTTTTACTAAAAAAATAGGTTAAAAACAATAAAATGGGCAACCGGAGTTGCTATGTTGCAAATTATCTAGCAAAAAAAACTGTAAATTATATAAATTTTCAGTAGCAAAATCGAAATTAAATCAAAGAAATAAATGGACAGCTATATAATAAGAAGAATAAAACCTTTATTTTTGTAATAATATCAGTAATACTGAAAATAACAGACATCAGAAAAAGTTTTAAATAAACAATAAATTATTATTTTATGATATTCTTCAACATCCCTTAAATCTTAAATGTTTAGCAACTGATTAGATTTCTGCCTTTGATTATTGTATATGGCTGAAATGCAATCTTGTGACTTATTGATAGGAAACCAGTTTTAATTATTAATTTTTATGGGTTTTTTCGAACTAAAAATAAAGAAAATATAAATTACCATCACAAATACACCAATTATTTTTGTTAATACATTTTAATTCTACGTTATTATATAATGGTAATGTTTTATTTTGACATTATTTAACCTATTCTTCAATGACAACTTATTAGGCTTAGGCAAGATTTCATACATTTTCTCATAAATACCTGCCTATGTTTTATTATTGATTTTTAATGCTTATACTACTTTTTTTAGCTGAAGTAATAAAAATATGTAATAATAATAATTTTTTCACTTGTTTTACAAATCCATATACTTTTATTAAAATTAACGTATATATTTTTTAATTATGAACTCTATTAAAAAATTGTATTGTCAGTATACGCAAATATCGTCCGTTAGTTCATAAAATTGTTGGTGCTGCTATCACGCACGGAGCGAATAATGAATGAAAATAGGCTGAATGAAAAATAAATTATGTTTTCTGTTATCCATGTTTTTTGTATAGAAAAAAGAAATTTAAAATTTTGCGTTTTCCTAGTGTTTTTTTGTGTTCATCGTCGTATTTAAGTGACTTTTTTTATGTTTTTGTTTCTTTATAAATTTTAATTTTTATATTATATATGGCTGAGTCTACTTATATTTTTCTTTTATATCACACCTTCTGTTTGTTTTTTTAAAATGCTTTAAGTTTCTTGTTTTTTCTTTATTTTAGTTTTTGTCTTTTTTGATGGGTTATTTTATTTATTAGAGACTTGTTATGACAACTTAAGTATCAGTTCTGTCAAATAGGTCAGTGACATTGTTAGGGTTACTACTAAAGTTCCACTCCCCCTTATCTTCGCTATTCAGGGCCGTATTTATAAACAAAACTCAGCTGAGTCGAACTTGGTTATATCGCGTAAATTTAGAGATGGGTAGTAACAAATCCGTAAATGTACATAACAGTTACATATTTGCTAATATCCATCTCTAAATTCCAGTCAAACACCAGAACCACCTAGAAATTTAGAGACGTTGTAACCGAACTTTGATTTTAGTTCAAGGACGACTTACCCAAGTCCGACTCAGCTGAGTTTTGTTCATAAATACGGGCCTCAGTGAGATATTGGAATAATTTTGTTCTGTTTGAAAGACTAGAACAAATACTTTCTTATGATTGATTTAATTGTTCTATGACGCCATGGCTTATTTCCGGTTTTTCCGGAAATAACAGAAAATCGATTTTTTTTATTTTAAAAGAAAACCCTCTTTTTTATTGAAAATTTAAATTTTTGGGACATTTTTATATAATAATCGTGTATTGACAATTTTCTGTCAGCTGTCAAAATAGCCGCCACATTGGATAATATTTTTTCTAAATATGTTACTATTAATTCGTTTATGGAAAAACATATAGGAATGTACGAACTTTTTGGGCTTCAAAATTCCCATTGAGACCCATTTACCGTATACCAGTGACGTATCTAAGCATTTTTATTATTAGCAAACCGTTTAATAATTCCATCCGCTTTTATCTCCGTTGTTAATTGAGATATTGCAATGAAAACTTATTTGTTTAAAAGCTTGGAATAAATACTCTTATATACGGGATTCAATTGGTATCTGACTTCATGGCTTACTTCTGTTTTATCGGAAATAACAGAAACCCTCAATTTATTTTTAATTTCTAAATAGAAACCCTCGTTTTTATTGAAAATTTGAATTTTAGGGACATTTATGGATAAGAATCATGTGTTGAAAATTTTCTGTCAGCTGTCAAAATGACCATTATATTGGAAAAAAAAATTTAAAATGTTACTGACAGAAAATTTTCAATACACGCTTCTCATACAAAAATGTCTCAGAAATTTAAGAAAAAGGGTTTTCAGTTAAACATAAAACATAAATTGCGATTTTCTATTTTTTTCTGGAAAAACCGGAAGTAAGCGATGACGTCACAGAATAATTAAATCCATCATAAGAAAATTCTCTTTTATTTTTAATTTTCTTTGTTTTCCAACAAATAAACATTCTAAATTTTTTCAAAATTTTGCCCGTCTCAGTCAGAGTTGGGTCGGATACAGGAAAAAAGTATCCGAGTACCGGATACGGATACTTACAATGTATCCGGATACTTTTAGGATACTTTCACCTAAAACGTACTCGGAT